TATATATATATATATATCGCCCTTAGATGTGATAACTGCAACAGTTTTCCTTTTTCAGGCTTACAACATTTACAGCAAGTACAGAAATTTACTTGTTGATCCTGATAGAAATCCAGAGTACGTGTAAATTCCTGTGTGCTGAATTGAAATCTCAAACAATGTTGTCAGCTCTCACCAGTTCTTTTCTGCAAGCTACAGCACCTGCCTCCAATCTTATACAAATAAAGAGGGGGAGGTGCTTGTAGTGAAAATCAGGAGAGCAGCTCCGAATAACAACTCTGCTACTCCACAGATACATTACAGTAAATGGGCATTATCACTCTAGGACAGGAAGTATGTTACTGGCAGACAAATAAATGAAAAATAGCCTGAAAATGAAAACGAATGCAGCCACTACATTTAAGAACTGGTATGCTACGATATATCAAATTTTCTGTTCTTGGGTTTAAAAACATATTAAAAACACCAAACTGTTTTACCTGACCTTTGCTGTAAGCCTTCATCATCACCCCCAAGCTACAGTATGTCCCAGTGTCTGAAGCATGCTAGGATGAGAGCACTGTGCAATGCACAGGAGGGTGATAGGCTCATCATTCCACCACCTCATTCTTGGGCTGATTTCTGGTTTTCTGGGGGGTAATCTAGCACTGTTTAAATTGGACCTAAACTCAAAAAGTGAAGATTAGGTGAAAGTTATACTGTGAACACACCTGAAACAGTCTAATGAGGGGACCTGTCAGTTGAGAGCATAATCCATTAAAGCAACATTTATTACTGCAAGGTCAAACTGCCAACAAAGCTGTGACCTCAAAATGGGTGGGAGGGCAGGCAACTTCTTCCAAAGGTTACTTCTTCAATTGCAGTTACATGCCTCAGCATAGCCTGCAACAGGATTCTTATTTTACTCTATCACCTGATAGAGTAGCTGATCACAACTGAGCCACTTCAACTTTCTTATGCTAGGTTAATGCCTGCTTAGTCAAGCTCCCCTCAGCCAAGCCTCCCATTCACTTAGGACTTAGGGGCCTTCATTGTTGCCTTTGACTGCCAGTCTTAGGGTATTTGGAGTTAGATTTAGTGATTTCTCTACTCTGCTGCTCATTGTTTTCTTGACTTTGCTAAATAGAGGACCTTCAGGGATCTCCATGTTTCTGCTTCATTCATTCTGTGGATCTTTGCTTCCTGTACTTCTACTAGTGTTTCTTGTATATTCCCCAAGCAGTTATCAGATATCAAGTCGCGGGGTGTGAATAAATGCACCATTAGACTTTTTTTCATATTCAACAGTTAAATGACTTCTTTAAGTAATGTAGCTATCTATTATAGCACAACAGCTGCAAAATGAGCTTGTAGAAAGATTTTAGCCAAACAGATTGGATTCTGCATAAGAAGCTAGGAAATAATCATACTTGACACAAACCACACACTATGGAAATGCTGCATATGTGTTAGTTAAATCAGGCCTTTAACCTACACTTATGTTTTGGATTGTGGTAGAATACTGGAACACTCATAGGAAATTAGTGCTAGACACAGGGAGAACATGCAAACTCCATACATGTACTATTTCTGATGGTAATTAAATACACATCTCCAGTGCTGTGGTGGGTAGTTACCTACTTGCTTTTATAAATAAATGTATTAGTGCGATTTTCCCAAATTCTCAAACTCCTGGCTTTGTTCCTGCCTAGCCTGAGATATTCTCATTCCCCTTAAGCATTGTTCTCAATACCAAATAAATTAAAGATCCAATTAGAAGCGTGAATCAGAAAATACTCTTTAAACTTAAAACGGTTTCCAATCAATTGTGAATGGTACATTCTTACAGCTTTACCAATTGACCAATTGACAATTGAGTTTACCTGACACATTTTGATATGTTTATTATTGCCCACATGCTTGGGAGAAGGTGTAACTTTATTACTGCACAGTAATAACTGGGAAAGATAAAATACATTTCATATAATTTGAATGTTTTTCAGAATGAGCAAGTAACAGTTCAAATGATGACTATGACAAACTACTTCAAATCAAAATACATAGAGAACCCTGGCTTAAAAATTGTGGAACTTCCATATGGAACAAAAGAAGATTTTAGCATGGTGATAATGATTCCAGATAATAACGTCATTTTTGATAAGGTAAGTCCCTCGTCACATAAAGTCTTGGTGCTGTATAATTTAAATGGAACCTGTCATGATGGCTGGTGTATGTCACAACTAAGCCTTACATCTAGCCCCGATGCTGAGTACTCCTGTGCAATGTTACAGAGTGCCTGCCCTAGGACATCTTCCAGGAGTTGGGCAATGGAAGCCTGCAGCTCTGTAAGATAGCTTCAACTGAGCTAGTTAATGACTGTGAAAAGTTCTCTTTGTGGAAACACCAGCTTAAAGGTTCTGTAAATAACCAGCTTTTTTTTCAAGAAAGGAGGAAAGCAGACAGAGTAAAACATGTGAAAATGAGCCAAGAGCTTCATCTGCTGGCTGGGTAGAAAACTACATAACTTCATAGGAAATATTCCATATTTATTTGACTAAAATTATAACAAAATCGTCTGCAATCACTGTTTGTCTGAGAATTTCAGACCAGCTGCCTTGACAAAAGGCAATTGAAAAAGCAACTATTGGCAAATAGAGGGCTGCACATTGGTTGCATTTTGACCGGTGTATGGCCAGCTTTATTTGCTCTAATGGCAAGTCTATGAAATATATTTCTTTCCATAACAAAAACATGAAAGAGCAAGCTTGCAGATATGCAAAAGTCCATTTAAAATTAAGGTAAACACTAATAAACACAATAATAACCTAAACAAAGTTTAGCAAACTAAGAATACATTATGACTTCCCTTTAGTGAGGCCAATTACTCATTTATTTGCCTTGGTGTACAAAATTTAAAGAGGCAGCATGCTGCCCCATTCTTTCACTATTGGATAGCATTTCTTTTTTTCTGCAAGCTAAACTCCACTTTATGTGGACCAAATGCCTTCACAAATGCAGATATTAGATTGTAAAATTTGTGGTGACATCATCACTGCGCAGTACATAGCCTATGCAGAGAGCAGAGCTGTGGAAGGGAACCCAAAAGGTCCCACCCACTACAGACTGCCTGCAGGAAACTACAGGAAGGGGCAGAACCAGCCTACACAAGGAGAGAGGGCAGCAGTGACTGGTCTGGTCTGTTCCATTGCAACAGAATTTCAACCATTGAAATACAAATGTTTTTAACAAGAAAAACTCTGTTTTAATATTGCAAAATGTAAGCATTGAAGTTACAATTAGGCTCTAGGAATAGCTGCATGGCATTTCACAGGACGGGTTTGCTGATTGTGACAGCAGTTTAGCATACAGGCGCAATGTGTCTTTAAACAGCCTCTTGTGGGCTCCATGAGAAGCTCGAGTCACAGGATAACAATGCAAGAGCACAGGAGATAGAGTCATGCCTGCCCAAAGGCCTTCCTGGCAGGATCATTATGCGTTTAATTAAATTTGTATCTTTATGCTTCATTTTCAAGACCGTTAGGGCCTCGCTCTGCAAAGAATTAGCATAAAGCTGCGGCAGAGGAGCTCCATGCTGCCAGACAGATGAGTGGCCCTGGGTACAAACTGTCTGTGTGCAGGGCCCCTCATCTGTCCCTAGCTGCATGTAACTGGTTGGCATACGGTTACATGTAAACAGCCATTGCTCCTGTCAGCCTGTTAATAAGATTTGCTGCACCTTGCTGCAACTTACACTGATTCTTTGCGAAGTAAGGCCCCTAATTGGCCATGTGAATGAGGGCTTAATCATATGGAAAATGACCTTAGAAATTACAATAACATATTAATCCTTATATGAGATTTTAGTGAATGGGTTTACATATACTTTAACAGGGATTTACAAAAGTACTTTAAGGCACCACAAGGTGCCTATGGTGCAGTACTGGACTCTTTTTAGACCAGTGTAGGTTCATTTCATATGAGCTTTTAAATCTTAAAAATACATTAATGTACCTTAACTATTAACAAAAATGTATCTTATTTGTGTATCACTCAGCTGTAGATCTTCAAATCATCTCTGAATTCATGTTGACACTGTCCTTCCTTCTGGAGGGGGGCTACGTTTGTTTCCCATGGTTCCTGTGCGTGTTGTAAAGTAGCCACTGCACCTAATTCGCTCCTGTGATAGACTATAACTTTAATATGTGAGATTGTAGTCCATCAGGGAGTGAGCTTGGAGCGGTGACTACTTTACAACACACACATGGACCATGAGGAACAAAAGTAGCCACCCTCCAGAAGGAAGGACAGCATGAATTCAGAGATGATTTGAGGATCTACAGCTGAGTGATACACAAATATACATTTTGTTAATAGTTAAGGTACTTGAATGTATTTTTAAGATTTAACTTCTAAGCTTAGTATCACTTTAAATTTAGCGTTGATGGTGACGTATGTAATAAAATTAAGGTTCAAACCAGCTTAATGTGCATTAATTCTTCATCTGCTATCATTTTTTAATACAGGTAAATAAGATGATTTCATATGAAAATCTGAATGCTTGGATCAGTTCAACAGATATGAAGATGGCTAATATAGCATTACAATTGCCAAGATTGAAAGTGGAAAAGAAAATCTCACTAAAGGAAACACTTAAGTCAATGGGAATTATAGATGCATTCAACCAAGTCAACGCAAATTTTTCTGGAATGACAAACCAGCACAATATGTTCATGTCAGAAGTATATCACCAAACTTCCCTTGAGGTGAATGAACAAGGGACGGAAGCGTCTAGCTCTACTGGTGCTGTAATGTCATTTCGTAGTCTTCCAAATGATGAAATTAAGGCAAATCGCCCTTTTTACGTTGTCATCAGGCACAACCACTCAAACTGTATACTACTTTATGGAGTGGTAAACAAACCCTAACAAAATGTATATGAAGATTATCACTTCTAAAACTTTCTGAACTAACAATAACTTGCACTTATATAATTGATCAAAAAATCATTTATATTTTACTTTACTTAAAAATTACAATCTATGTTTGACATTGTACTGTTGTTACATTTTAGTATCTAAAATGGCAGTGAAGTCATATTTTAAATACACTAATGCCTGACCTTGTGGTTACCTTGTAAATAAACATTTTTTTTTTAAAGTTGGTCTTTTTATTTTTGAATGTGTTAACCTTTCAGTGATGACAGAAAAAAACTGAAGCCTAAATGGTTGGTATGTGTATCTGCACTTTGTACACCTTTATAGCTCTTAGCACAGTCTTATTATATAAAATATTTATTAAGCTATTCCTTAGAACCAGGGGTCTCAAACTTAATTCACCCGAGGGCCACTCAACAAATTTATTTCTCCCATGGGGGCCTATTGCCAAATTTCATACTTCAAAAGTTAACTATATACGGTATGGTAATACGGACACTAATATACACACAATAAGGCCCTATTCACACCAGTAAGTTTAGGTATAATTAGGGATTCCTGCATCAGGGACTTGCATTTTCCTGCAGCAGGAATCCCTAATCTGGCATTTACAAGCGGCAGGTGTCACCCATTCAAGTTAATGATCAGGTGACAGCAGCTCCATGTAAATGCCTGCACAACGCATGCAATAGTATGTGATATGATTACATGCGGTCAGAAAACCTACTCCCTGGATGCACAATCGATGCGTCCAGGGAGAGTGATTGATTCCTAACCAAATGTAATCATATCACATACCATTACATGCGGTGTGCAGGCGTTTACATGCATCAACTGTCACCTGATCATTAACTTGAATGGGTGACAGCTGCCGCTTGTAAATGTCAGATTAGGCATTCCTGCTGCAGGAAAACGCAAGTTCCTGACACAGGAATCCCAAATTGCACCTAAAGATACATATGTGAATAAGGCCTAATACACTCCTCCCCCCACCCTCTACACATAAAAAAATACTACCCCTGCACATATAAAATAATACACATAAAAAATACACCCCCCACACATAACATAATACACCCCCCCATACACATACAAAATACACCCCC